TTAGGGTTTAGGGTTTAGGGTTTAGGGTTTAGGGTTTAGGGTTTAGGGTTAGGGTTTAGGGTTTAGGGTTTAGGGTTTAGGGTTTAGGGCTATCTTGGGGTTGTACCTTGGACCCCTAAGGTTGTCCCCTTGGGTTTTGGGGACCCTTTTTGAAGATCCTTAAGGTAGTACAAGGGCCATTAGGGAGCATATTCAGGGCAACCTTTAGGGATACAACCTTAGGGGTGCGAGTCTGAATCCCTTGATTTGATTGGACTCTACTGGATCTCCCGCCTTAGGGCGTTTAGGCCACGGGTTTAGGGTTCTTTGGGAGCCTATGGGGCTTTAGGGAGTTTATAAGGTGGTTAGGGGGGTTGGGGAGCTTTAGGGCGTTTCAGCGGGCTTAAGGGGGCCTAGGGAGTTCAAGGTTTTCGGGCTGAGGGTTCGGTTGAGGGGGTTCCCTCCACCACCCTCAACCCAGAGCAAGGCCCAAAGGCTTCTTACGTGGGGCCGCAGAGCTTGGGCTCTGATTTTTTTGATTTTTGGGGGTTTTCGAGTTTGGGGATTTCTGGCGTTTCGGGATTATTTAGGAGGCTCGGGGCTTCCTTTTAGAGGGCTATATGAAGCGACTGCAAGCTCTAAGGGCCCTTCTGTGGAACGCATTCTCAAGGTTTGAAAGGTTTGTTGCGAAGCCCTTCTCTGAACCACATTGGGGCTCCTTTTATGGCTTCACTACTTAGCTCAGGGGTATTGGAGTCTCCGGGACTGTTCACTATGCACCCCAAGGCAATCCGCAGCAGCCAAAACTCAGCCCTAAAGCCTTGGCCCAAAGGCGATAAAAACCCACGATGTAAGAGTTCAGCCTCAAGCCCCCCTAAACCCTAAACCCTAAACCTTAAACCCTAAACCCTAAACCCTAAACCCTAAACCCTAAACCCTAAACCCCTATTGGCTATGGACCTCCGTCGCTCGAGGGAGAGCTTCCGCAGGGGCTGTCGTCCGAAATGTCTGCTGCTGTCGGGCGGCCTGGGTTTAGGGTTTAGGGTTTAGGGCCGTTTAGGGTTTAGGGTTTAGGGTTTAGGGTTTAGGGTTTAGGGTTTAGGGTTTAGGGTTTAGGGTTTAGGGTTTTGGGTTTAGGGTTTAGGGGTGCCCCCCCATGAGATGTGCGGCTTGATCAGGTTTAAGGTTGCTTAGGGTTTCAGGTTTAGAGTTTAGAGCTCGGCGTTTGGGGTTAGGGGTATAGGGTTTCGGGTTTCGAGTTTAGGGTTACATCTTTACAGGAGGAAACCTGCACAAGATGACTTTATAAACCTTTCTCCGTCTAGTGTCGGTTCAAGGCTTGTGGTGGCGGGAACCCCCAAATTTCGGCTTGAGACAGATTTATATAGGGGCCTTAATAATTAGAACGGGGTATTGGGGGGAGGGCTGATAAGGGCCTAGTCTTCGTAGTCATTCCGGCCCCGTACGTATGCTTGCAGAGCTGTGTGGCCTGGGTTCTTTGCGTTTGGGGCAGTTGCCCGAACTGCACGCCGCACCTGTGATGCGTACCGCGAAACGCAATCACTAAAACAGATGGCAGAGCCCCTAGCTCGAAACCAGCGAATGTCCTGACACCCAAACTGAAAACTCTAAACCTTAAGCCCTAAACCCAAACCCACCTTGTGAAACTAGTACGCCCTAGAGCTCCCAGAACACTAAACCCTAAACTCTGTAAGCCAAAACCCTAGGCCCAAACCCTAAACCCTAAACCCTAAACCCTAAACCCTAAACCCTAAACCCTAAACCCTAAACCCTAAACCCTAAACCCTAAACCCTAAACCCTAAACCCTAAACCCTAAACCCTAAACCCCACACTCTGAACCTTCCAACGTTCCCCTGCCAGGAGGCGCATGCACGCTCGCGAGGGCGCCTCTACGGTGGAGGGCAGAACGCAGAGCGGCATGGAAGACAGCCCTGAGGCGGGGTTTAGGGTTTAGGGTTTAGGGTTTAGGGTTTAGGGTTTAGGGTTTAGGGTTTAGGGTTTAGGGTTTAGGGTTTAGGGTTTAGGGTTTTTAGTTTAGGGTTTAGGGTTTTTAGGGTCTAGGGATTAGGGCGTTTAGGGTTTGGATATTGGGGTATAGGGCTTTTAGGGTTTAGGGTTATGGGGGTTTAGGGTTTATGGGTTTAAGGTTTGTGGGTTTAACGGTTTAGGGTTTAAGGTTTGGGGTTTGTAGGGTTTAGGGTTTAGGGTTTGGGGTTTATAGGGTTTAGGGAATAGGGTTTAGGGTTCAGGGTTCAGGGTTTATAGGCCCTGAGGGGTCTGAGGTGTTAGGGCTTGTAGGGTTTGGGGTTTTGAGGGTTTAGGGCTTAGGGTTATGGAGTTTAGGGTTTATAGGGCTTATAGGGTTTAGGGTTTAGGGTTTATGGGTTGAGGGTTTAGGGGTTTAGGGTTTAGGGGTTTATGGGGTTAATGGGGTTTATGGGGTTTAGGGTTGAAAGGTTAAGGGTTTATGGGTTTATTAGGTTTATAGGGTTTAGGGTTGGGGTTTGTAGGGCTCAGGGTTTATAGGGTCTAATAGGGTTTATAGGGTTTACAGGTTTTATAGGGTTTATAGGGTTTGTAGGGATTGTAGGGTTTAGAGGGTCTTAGGGTTTATAGGCTTTATGGGGTTTATAGGGTTTATATATAGGGTTTAGGGCTTTTAGGGTTTAGGTTTATGAGGTTTATAGGATTTGCAGGGTTTGTAGGGTTTCAAGGGTTTATAGGGTTTAATTAGGGGTTAGGGTTTAGTGTTTAGAGTTTATAGGGTTTAGGTTTTATAGGGTTTTGTGCTTTGGGCATGGCAAAGGAAGAAGGTTTAGTGTTTAGGTTTTGGGGTTTAGGGGGCTTCAGGGTTTAGCGGCTTTCAGGGGGTTTGGGATTTCTGGGCTTTCAGGGAGGGGGTTTTGGGGTACCCTAAACCCTAAACCCTACACCCTAAACCCTAAACCCTAAACCCTAAACCCTAAATAGAGGGGCGCCAGGCTTCCAGTGCTGAGGGTGCTTGGACTCGAAAGACGGATTCGACGAAGCCCTGAGGCTTGCTACCCCAAGCAACTCCAACAGCAACCCACATCCCTAAACCCTCAGAAAGTTCGGGGTAGATTTCGGGCAGCTTGGGTCTAGGGTTTAGGGTTTAGGGTTTAGGGTTTAGGGTTTAGGGTTTAGGGTTTAGGGTATAGGTTTTAGGGTTTAGGGTTTAGGGTTTAGGGTTTAGGGTTTAGCGTTTAGGGTGTAGGGTTTCGGGTTTCGGGCTTTTTTAGGCCGCTTCTTGGGGTGTTGGGGCCTCGTGCAGCTGCAGCCACGCCCGGCTGGCAGCTGCGGTGGAGCTCCTTTTACAAGGATTTGCTTCTGGAAACCCAGAGAGAGAGAGAGAGAATGAGAAAGAGAGAGAGAGAGAGAGAGAGACTGAGAGAATCACAGCGAGAGAGAATGAGAGAATGACAGAGAGAGAGAGAGAGAATGAGAGAGAGAATGAGAGAGAGAGAGAGAATGAGAGAGAGAATAAGAGAGAGAATAAGAGAGAGAGAGTGAGAGAGAGTGAGAGAGAGAGAGAGAGAATGTGAGAGAGAGAGGAAAAGAGAGAGACAGCGAGAGAGAGAGAGAGATATATATATATACATTATATATATATATATATGTATATATAGGGATGAAGAAAGATAGATAGAGAGATGCTTAGATAGGGTTTAGGGTTTGTATAGGGTTTAGCATTCAGGGTGTAGGATTTAGGGTAGAAGCTTTCGGGTTCGGGTTACGGGGAGAACGACATCGCAGAGTGAGATTTCACCAGATCTCACCGCAGCAGCGCGGCTCCTCCACCGAAAGGCTCGCCGACCCCATGTCCTGCAGCACCGATGAGTCTCTCAAGCATTGAAAAACTGCTGTAGGGGGTTTAGGGTTCAGGGTTCAGGGTTCTGGGTTTAGGGTGCAGGGTTCAGGGTTTAGGGTTTAGGGTTTAGGGTTTAGGGTTTAGGCTTTCGAGGTCAAGGGTTTAGAGGTTTAGGGTCTATACGGTCTATAAGGTCTATAGGGTCTATAGGGTCTATACTGGGGTCTATAGGGTCTATATTATAGGGTCTGTCGGGGTTGGGTTGGGGTCGACCAAAGGTCTAAACCTGTCTGGTAAGGGTGCTCCGGGCTCGAAGTGATCATGTACAAGTAGGGAATACATAGATATCCCGAGTGGAGAGACAAAAGAAGATATACAAACGTACGTATGTGGGTGGCTGTCAAAATTATGATCCCTTTTGGGGGTTCCCTTAATATGAGGTGCCGTATTATAATAGGCATCCAAAAAGGGACCAATTTTGACAACCACCCATGTACATCTCTCTATGATCCATGTATGTACAAGCCTCGTTTAGCCAGCCTGAACCTTCAAGCGCTGTCAGCTTCTCCAGGCCTCACAGCCCTAAATCCGGCAGGCAAACAAGCACCCAACATCCCTGATTGCCCGTATATATGGGAATTTACGAAAATCGGGGACCCCCCAATCTATAGATCCCGAAATAGTAGAAACCCCATATTACGTGCTTGTGCCGCATCTTTCCCACATGCCGGCGTCATCTTGCAAGCCGCCTTTGGCGGAACTAAAGCTTGCGAGCTCTTGCCTCGCCACTTCCTCGGCGAAGATGTGGGATGCTTCAGAGTCGCAACGTAGCCAGGCACGTTTAGGGGCTGAGGGCTTGTCTATAGGGGGTTTGGGGGTACCCTAAACCCTAAACCCTAAACCCTTAACCCTTAACCCTAAACCCTTAACCCTAAACCCTAGAGCCCTAAGCCCAGAACCTTAAGCCAAACAAACCGAAAGACAGGGAATGCTTACGGAGCTGTTGCTCAATCTGCGGTTCGGGGGCTCCCTGAACCTGAAACCCCAAACCCTAAACCCTAAACCCCAAACCCTAAACCCCAAACCCCAAACCCTAAATCCTAAACCCTAAACCCTAAACCCAGGTTTAAAAGTTTAGGAGTCCCCGACCCTTTCGAGGGTTTTCAGGGG